CACACACACACACACACACACACACACACACACACACACACACACACACTGATCTAACCGTGGTCTCTCTCACGAGCTCAAGTCTCACATACCTATTGAACATTTTCAGTGGAATGTCCTGCAGATATCTCAGTCTCAAAATGTCTAAAGCAGAATTTTTTTCCCCTCAAAAGCAACTGCTTTTCCAAATTTCCCTATTTATGCTGAAGGTACTAACATCCATACAGACACACAAGGTTACAATACCAAGTTATCCCGACTCTGAGGCAGTGGGTGGCCCAGTGGATAGAGCCCTAGATCCAGAATCAGGAGGACCTAAGTTCAAATCCAGCCTCTGACACTTACGAGCTGTGTGACCCTAGGAAAGTCACTCAACCTCTGTCTGCCCCAGTTTCCTCAACTGTAATATGATTGCACCTACTTCCCAGGTTTATTGTGAAGATCAAATGAGATAATATTTGTAAAGTGCTTTGCAAACCTTAAAGCACTATATAAATGCTAATTGTTGTTGCTATTGCTACTACTACCATGACTACTATGGCTACTATTTTCCTTAACTCCTCAGTCCTCCTTACCATACATATTCATAGAAGAGATCACAGACTCAGATATGGAAAGTATTTCAAAGGTTGTCCAACCCTCTCATTTACTAATGAGGAAACTGAGGACCAGAAAGGCCCTGTATCACATGGCTAATCAGTGCCTGAGGGAAGATTCAAACCCAGGTATTCTTGATGACAAATCAAGTACTCTTATCTGCTATTCCACATTGATTCCAGTTTCCAAGTCTCAATTTTGCCTCCACAACATGTTTTACATCCATCCCCTTCTCTCTACTCATAAAGCCATCCCCATAGTTCAGGCCCTCATCCCCTCTCACCTGGATTATTTCTTTTCTTTTTTTGGGGGGGTGGGGAGGCCTAGGCAATGGGGTTAAGTGACTTGCCCAGGGTCACACAGCTACTGTTATGTGTCTGAGGCCAGATTTGAACTCAGGTCCTCCTGAATCCAGGGCCAGTGCTCTATCCACTGTGCCATCTAGCTGCCCCTCACCTGGATTATTTCCATACCTTCCTAATGGACTAATCAACTAGCATCACTATCACATTCTCAGCACCATCACAAAATCAAATCATCAAAACCATCATTGTCACATCCCTACCATCATCGTTGTCAATGCTACCATTAGCACCACAATCACTGTCACAAAACCATCATAACCAGCATAAGTCACATCAGTACCATAATCACTGTGGTACCATCAGCGTGAAAAACTTCACTATCATCACTCTTAGTATCGGCAGTATCATCACTATCCCACGAGCACCATCTTCATGGTCACAGTAAAATCACTGTGATATCAGGACTGTCATCACTGTCATATCCTCACCAGAATCACAACCATACCAGCACCACTTTTACTGTCACATCAACACCATGATCCCTCTCACATCAGCCCTACCATATCAGCACCACTGCCTCTGTCTCATCCTTACCACCATTATTATATGGTTGGCACAATAGTCATTGTCACATCCACACCAATACCTCTGACACATCCCTACCACCATTATCCTTTTCACATCAATTATGAGGAGACATCAGGCCTGGAATAGTCAAATACACAGAAATAATGATAATAAATAATAACAATAATAATAATACTGACTTCAGGGTTGGTACAGGTTGTGGCAAGAGACCTAATCCTAGAGTTAGATCACTTAGATTTAAAACCTGTCTTTGAAACTTACTACCCATGAACATCTAGAGAAGTCATTCAATCTCTCTGGACCTCAGTTTCCTCCTCTGTAAAATGAGGTAGTTAGACTAGATGGCCTTGGAGGTATTTATACATCTAGACCTAGGATCCTTAAATAAATCTACAGAGGACCCCTTAAACTCAACTTTACTCATTGATTTCTGGATCTTTCCTGGGTATAAACCATAGAAAAGTATTGGGGGGAGGGGTGTTTCCACTAGAAACACAGGAACACCAAAGGTATCATTTGGAATAAACAAATTATGGCAATAAAAATAAGGGCTTTCACCTCACTATGCAACATATAAAACCACGGAGTGCCTTTATTTCTTCTGCCTTTTGCTAGATGATAGCAGAGTCACTAGTAGGAACCCAAGAAGAGGGAGAGGGAAAAAATGGCTAGAAGATCAGGAAGGAGATAGAGGCACTGAGATAGACATGACTGAGTAAGGATCATAGGATCTAAGATCTTGAGATGGAAGAGGCCTGGGAGGACATTGAGCCCCACTGGCTCAATTTACAGGGGAGGAAACTGAGGCCCAGAAAGAGGAAGTGACTTGCCTAAAGTCATAATAGGATCCTAGATCTGAAGTGGGAAGGGACCCGAGAGGTCATCTAGTCCAACCCACTCATTTTACAGATGTGGAAAGTAAGGCACAAAAAGGTTAAGTAACTTGCCGAAGGTCACGTAGGTAGGAAGCCTCAGAAATGAGGTCCTCTGATTCCAACCTCAGTACCATATTATCTCCTATCATTTCTTACACTGAGTAAACCTTTAAAAGGACATGGGGAGTAAACTGGGTTGGGGGCCCCATGGGAAGGGAGAGAACCCTGAAAGAAGGGTATCAGACAAGGATCAACAATCAGACTGTGGTGAGAAATATCAAAGAAGATTAGGTCTGGAAGACCTAATTTAGAGCTCATCTGGTCTGATCCCCTTGTTTCACAGACGCAGAAACTGAGACATAAAGCAAGGGGCAGGGGGAGGGGAGAGAAGGGATTTTCCCAAAGTCATGCAGAGATTCAGCAGACAAGTTAGGACTGGATCCCAGGTCTCCTGACTCCAAATCTCTTTCCACTCAGCCATAGCGTCCAATAGACACCATCTGGTTATAAGAAAAGGGGCTGTAGCAGGTAGTGAAAAGGACCCCTCAAAGTACTCTTCTCTTTGGTTTAGGATTAGGTTGGATACAGCATAAGGGCCAAAGGTTTGTTCCATGATCACTGGCTGGACCACAACGGTGGCCCCAGTGCTAGATTTGCTAAGGATTTCAAAGAGAATCTTTCCTACCCACTTATCACACCCTCAAATGACTTGTGATTCGACTTTACTTACCTAAAAATCCTATGAAATAATAGGCGCTATTTGGCTTTCCTCCTAATGCACCTAAAGACTGTGGCATCTTAAAACACTCCTAGACGAAAAGAGAACATCAGATTCTCAGCCGGCTTCTACACAACATGGAAGCTGACTGCACAACAAAGGGCTTGGTTAAGAGAGCAACTTACTTTAAATGCATCAACATAGACAGGATTAATTTGGTTGATGCCCAAGCGAAGGGGCACAATAAGCAGAAGGGGCCTCCAGCCAGAGGTGTGCCTGGGAAAATTTGTGTTCCAGCCAAGGCCATTCCAGGAACTGGAGGAACTGTCATGGGTCAGGTTGGGAGGGCACATGTGGCACATTTTTTCTAAAAATACAAATAAGAGTTTGGCTGAATAAATGTATGCAGATATTCTTACAAATTCCAAATGACACAGACTCAAAAAGAAAGAGTAAAGGTAATAATGAACTTGCCTGGCAGATCTCTTCCCAGTCCCCTACACATGTCAGGGCCATCCCTGCCTCTGCACCTTTTCTTTGCCTTAGGCTGCCCCTCTCTCCTGAAATTCATTCCTCTCTGCCCATCTAAACCCTCCCCATCCTTCAAGCCCTAAATTAATATAAGGATTTGTTCTGTAAAACTTGGACTCAGTCAAAAGGCCACACCCAAGGACCTAGAAGGCCTGGAGGCTGCAGGTTCTCTATCCCTGCTAGCTACTCCCTGCAGTCTTCCCAAAGCAACCCCAAACACTGACTAAGCTTCCCTTTCTCTAACTCCTATAGCACCAGCTTAGCATTAGACTGATTCTCTGTCCTGATGCATTAGTCTTGGCTCCCAAACTACATCAAGACTGGCCAGCACTTTCCTCATGGACTCAGACTGTACTTAACAGTGATTAGCACAGACCACCTGATTAGCAACCATCTGCTGAAGGAGTCAATGACTTTACTACACTTTCTGGAGACATTGTGCAAGGGTAACTTAAAGCTGTTGGTGTGTGTGCTTTTTTTTTTAACTTTCAAAAAAGAAGATAATTGAAAAAATTGGAGAGGAGGAGTTGGGGTAGTTAACCACAGACCTTTGCTAAACCAAGTTCTGTATTACAAGGCAAGCTATAAAGATTCCAAGCTGGGAACTTTCTGAACAGCACGGAGGGAAAGCATCATCTACCACGTAAACAGATAGTAAACAGGCTTGTGACTTACTGATATCTTCGATGACCACTGTGTTATCCATCGAAACATAAACAGCCAAGGAATTCCATTCGTCAAATAAAGCAAGTTTTCTGGAATACAAGATACAGTGGAAACATCCTTTGAGGAGGCAGAAACCTCAGCAGGAAACAGTATGGGTCAGTGCCAAATATTACTTACATTACCATAATCGCTGACATTTACACAAAAAATTTTAGCTTAAAATGGCACTATGATTTTTGGAACACCTTGTATAGTATGTTAGTGTTTGTAAAGGGCTTTACAAACATTACCTTATTTGATCCTCACAAGTCTATAAAGACTTCTATTTTATAGATGTTAATTTAGCAACTAAGTCAAATGTTAAAGGCAATCCTGACTCCTTTTCCCTAGTTTTGGGATATCTATTTTCCTTTGACCTTGCAAATGCCACAGTCACACTGGACTTGAGTGTTGAAAAAGAAGCTAGTACTTCACTAGACACAAAGAAGAGAGCAAAGAATAGAAGGATCTCAGAGTTGGAAGGGAATTTGAGGTCCATCTAGTCCAGAGGTTCCCAAACTTATTTGGCCTACCACCCCCTTTATAAAAAAAAAATTACTCAGTGCCCCCTTAGGTTAACCCTTATTTTATTGAAGGCCCCCCAATTGCACCCGAGGCTACTACTGCCTCCCTGGATCATTCCGGCACCCCCAAGGGGTGGTGTTGCCCACTTTGTGAACCTATGATCTAGTCCAACACATAACTGATAAAGACTATCCTCTATGATACACTCAACATATGAAATGACTAGTCTTCGTTGAAACCCTCCAGTGAAAGACAAGCCACAATATACCCAACATATGGAATTTTTGTTGGAAGCCCTCCAATCAAAGACAAGCCACTACTTCCTGAGAGGCACTTTTGATGGTCAGTACATTTTTCCTAACATCAAGCCAAAATCTGCCTCTTTGTGACTTTCAGTCATTTCTCCTGGTTCTGTCCCATGGGATCAAGCCAAAACGTTAACCCCTCTTTCACGTGACAGCCTTTCAAATACTTGAAGACTTAAAGATATCATGTCCCCCACCAAGTCCCTTCTGGCTAAATATTTCTAGTTCCTTTAGATGAAGTAACAATCTGCATTATCTAATCTCATTTGGACCCTTTGATCCCTCTCTAGGAGAAATCAAAGGTGCTATTCCACTTGCCACATAGGCTTTTCCAAACCTTCTCTTCTCTCCGTGAGCCTCCTATACACCCTTGCCACAATCTTCTCAGTTCACACTTCACTAAGAAAATCAAGAACATGAACCATGAACTCCCTTCTCCTTCCCTATATCTCAAAAGCCCTTGACATCATACCCAATTTTATTCTCCTTTATTCCAGTCTTTGATAGAGAGGTGGCCATTTTCCTTATCAAGGTCAAGGTCTCTACAGGTACCCCTGGTCCCACTCCCTCCTTTCTTCTCTAGTAGACTGTCCCCCAAATCATTGTCTCATCTCTCTAACCTTCATTCTATCTTTGTCTACTGGTTCCTTCCACGCTGCCTACAAACACATCCAAGTTTCCCCAACCTTAAAAAACCCTCACTAGACTCTTCCATCCCCTCTGGCTATTGTCCTATATCTCTCCTCCCTTTCACAACCATACTTCTAGGAAAAGTTGTCTATAGCTGTTACTTCTATCTGCTCTCCTCTTACTCACTTCTCAACCCTTTGCATTCTGGCTTCTAACCATCACTCAACTGAAACTGCTGTCTCCAAAGTAAGTAATGATCTCTTAATTGTCAAACTTGACAGCCTACCCTCAAGTCCTCATACTTCTTGACCTCTCTGCAGCATTTGGCCTTGTTGATCACGTTCTCCATCTGGATACTGTGGATACTCTATACTGGATACTTTCAACTTTTTATTGTCACTGATCTTTCTGGATTCTCCTCCTACTTATCAGTCTCTTTTGCTAGGTTATCATTCACAACATACCCCCTAACTGTGGGTATGACCCCAAGACTCTGTTTAGAGATGTCTTCTCTTTTCTCTCTGTAAGCACATGTGGAGACTGCATCAGCTTGGTTGATGTAACTTTCTCACATGAGAATCTAGGAAGCTTGCTTCCTGGAGAACCATGATAACCTGTAAGGGAGGTATCATGGAAAGACTTGTGGAGCTTGTGTGGATATTCTGTAACTGGTTCTGGTTGGCTAGTCATGTGGTTAGAAGGAGCATTTTTGGTTTTTGACTGATTGCATAGCCAATCACATCTGTGGGAACTTGGTGATTCTTTGGCTCATGGTATCCAGTGAAACCCTGAAGTAAGGAAGATGGTCTTAGAGTCTTCTTCAAGTCTGATTCCATATGGTCCTTGAGAAATAGGTCTTGGTCCTTGGCCATTTTTAATTTGTTCTTTTCCATTCTAGGTGGAGGGATTGGAGCCTCTTCAATCTTAGGAATCTTGAAAGGTCAAGAATGAGTCACAGGAATCCAGGAACTGTTGTCTAGGATGAATTTTTGCAGCCAGTATAGCACTGATGATCCAAGGAACAAGAAGCAAACTTCAGGAATGACATCTGGGACTCCAGTCCAGTGGGAGGATTTGTCCAGCAATCAGTCCACACATGGACATGAACTTGGTGGGACCAATGCTGTGTCGGAATTGAGCTAAGTTTTGAGCCTGCTCTCCAGGGAATGAGTTGATATAAGGGAGAATATACCCAAGAGGAATTGGAGAAAATTTTTGTACATTTGTCCTTGAAATATCATTGAAGTAAATATCCTTTTATAAAAGCTATCCAATATTAACTGGTTAAATGAAACTGGGGCACTAGTTACTGGCCCCTACTAATGAGGGGAACACAGCCAGTTGGGAATCAAGCCAATGGTAGTAAAGAAGAAAACGACCCTCACAAACCTCTCAGGATGCCTTAGGTGTGGCCCCAACCTTGCCAGAACTTTTTCAGACAAATTACTATCTAACTGTGCCTCCCCCTCTTGTACTTTTAAACCTTAAGAAGAGATATGGCCCACCTGATCCTGACGGAAGGCCAGAATATATAGGTATAGATATCGCTACACTTTTTAAACTTGGCAACCACTTTGGCTCCTATGGATTTATTATCTCTACAAAGATTTCTAGATCTACTATATCTAGTCCTATCCCCTCTCCTGAACTCCAGCCATATCTCCAATTGCCCATTAGATATTTTGAACTAGATATCCCATAAGTATCTAAAACTAAACATGTCCTAAACAGAACTCATTATCTTTCTCCCCAAAAGACTCCCCCTCTTCTGAACTGCCCTATTTTTCTCAAAAGTAGCACCATTCTTCCTGTCTTAGAGTTATCTTAGAATCCTCACTTTCCCTCACCCCTAATATCTACTCAAGTTCCCAAATCTTATTTGTATCTTCACAATCTCTCTCTCATTCAACTCCTCTCTGTATTTACAGCTACTACACTAGTTCAGGCCCTTATCACGTCTCACTTGGACTATTACAATAGTTTCCTAACCAGTTTCCCTGCCTCAAGGCTCTCCAGTCCAGCTTCCATACAGTTTTGAAAATTATTTTCCTAAAGTGCAGATCTGATCATCTCACTCCTCTACTCAATAAACTCCAAAGGGTCCCTACTGTCTCTAGGATGAAATATAATCTTCTCTGTTAGGCACTAAAAGCCCTTCACAACCTGGCCCCAACCTCCTTTTCCAGGATCACAAAGCATTACCCCCCTACCTAAGCTCTGTGGTCCAGTCAAGATGACCTTCTTACTGGTCCTCAAACTACATCTTCCCTTTCTGTGCCTTTATACAGCCATCACCTAGGCCTGGGATATTCCTCCTCACTTCAGGCTCTTAGAATCCCTTATTTCAGAGCTCAAAATTTAAAAAAAAATGTTAAAAATTTTTGTTTACATGTAATTGAGAAAATAAAAATTAAATTAAAAAACCGAGAGAATCTCTTATTTCATTCAAAACTCAGCTCAAGTGCTACTTTCTATCACCCAAAGCCTTTCTCAATTGCCCTCAGCTGCTGGTGCCCTCCAACCTGAAATTACTTTGTATTTATGTTGTATATATGAATGTATACACTTTTTGTCTTCCCAATTAGTCTCAAACTCCTCAAGGGCAAGGATTGTTTCATTTGGCCTTCACATCCCCTACCCCTTGCATAATGTCTGGTACATACATGCTTGTTGACAGACTGAAGCAATTTGCACATGGCATGACATGAAGGCCCTTCACCATCTCATTTGCCCTTCTCTGGACTCAATATTCCAGAAGAGGTCTGAAAAGGATGGAGTCCAATGTCCTGTAAGTTATGCTTTTCTTAATGCAGCCCCACTTAGCCTTGTTGGCTGCCATATCATACTGACTTTGCAATTCAGTAACCGCCCTAGATATAGGGGTGGGGAACCTACAGCCTTGAGGCCACATGTGGTGTTATAGGTCCTTAGATGTAGGCTTTTGACTGAGCCTAAGTTTTAAAGAACAAATCCTTTTATTAAGGGGATTTGTTCTGTGAAGTTTGGATTCAGTCAAAGGGCCGCACTTGAGGACCCAGAGGGCCACATGTGGCCTCGAGGCCCTAGGTTCCCCATCCCTGCTAGAACTTTTTTAGACAAACTACTATCTAACTGTGCCTCCCCAAACAAAGTTGATTTTTTTGAACCCAAGTGTAAGATTTTACATTTATCTCTATTATATTTCATCCTATTAGATGAGAAGTTCTTAATCCTGTTGGGAGGGGGTGTCACGAACCCCCTGTGGCTCAGTGGATAGAGCACTGGGCCCAGAGTCAAGAAGACCTGAGCTCAAATCTGACCTCAGATATTTATTCGCCGTGTGACCCTGGACAAGTCCCTTTAACTTCTGCTTGTGTTAATCCACTGGAGAAGGAAATGGCACCACCACTCCAGTATCTTTGCCAAGAAAACTCCCAATGGGTCCATGAGGTCATGAAGAGTTGGAAACAACTAAACTATTGAACAACAACAACATGGACCCCTTTGAAGCCTATCAACTCAGGCCTTTTCAGAATAATGCTTTTAAAGGTATAAAATACATAGGCTTACAAAGAAAATTAATTACATTGAAATGTAGCTATCAATTTAAA